CTCTCTCCCTGAAGTTGCTTCTAAACTGGTCTCCCTGCAGTTTAGCAACCAGATTCATCTTCCCCATGCTGAAGCCCTACATGACTCTCCACTGGACTTGATATTCACTCTAAACTGTCTCTTGGCTTATAAGCCCTACCCTACAGAAGCCACTCTTCCTTCATCTCCTACCATTTCATCTCCTACTACTCAATATGCTTCAACCACCTCATCCCTTCAATCATTTAATGCCAAGCTTGTTCTCTCCTTGGGCTGTTCTCATTGCTGCTCTTACCTTGATCTTGGCATGGCTGCCTTAGACCTTCCTTGACTATCCAATCTACAAGTCCATGAATCCCTCTCTCCCACAGCATCCTATTTTCATTCTGTAGCATTCACTCTACGTTAGCTGTCTTAATGCCTGATATCTTTATCTTTCTTTTTCTGTGCTCTTTGTTCATCGTCTGTATCTCCTACACAAATGCACACTCCACGAGAGGCAGCCAACCTTGTCAGCACCGAGGACAGCATTTGGCACAAATTTGTTGGATGGATGAACACCCATTGCTCACAAATCTCCGTGTCCTCTGTTTCCCTTGAGGTCATATATACACTAATGGAAACAAAGATTTCTGAAACCTGAAATTATTTTGTAACAAATAGGCTTCTTCACAGTCATTTTTGTGTTCCCCAATTCCACACAAAAGACAAAATTTAATACCTCCAAATAGCATTTAAACTCCTGCTCAATTTACCACTAGATGGCACAAGCATTCCAAACCCAATTTCAGAAATTCACAGCAGCACTTACGTCTTTACACTGGTCTAGCTTCTTGATTGCTTCATATTCTTGTGTGATTGTCTGAGGGAAATAGCATTTCCCTTTATCTTCTTCATATTCTGCTTTGTAATTTTTCTGTAACGAGAAAGAACAAAAACAGATGGTGACTGCTACTGCTCCCAGTGTCACTGTGAGGCACGGCCAATTGTCTTCAAACTTACCTCACTGTTTTGTGCTGAAACTTTCATGCAGTGTGATTGATATGGGTCTTCAAAACTGCCTATGTAATGTCCCAGAATATTCTGTACATACTTATCTTTATATTTAGCCTGAAAAAGGAAACATATGTAACTCAAATGGACAGTTATTTGTCAGACAGGAGGAAAGCCTCCCCCCAACCCCAGAGGTGGGCACGGCCTTTCGAACCTCGCTGAAGGTCTTCAGGAGAGTATCAAGTTGGTATTTAGGGGTCTCACAGTAATTCATGCTCTTTGCCTTTGTCTTCTCATAGTTTTCCTTGTACAATCTCTGTCAAAGGAAGAAGAAAATCAAACAAAGGGGAAAACTCTGATGGTGTAAAAGCCATTCATTCACATCATTGCTGTGCTTTAACC